TCAGATCATGTATGTCACCTGAGCCTCCATTCCTGTCCGCTCATGGCATACCTACTTGCTCATTTCCACAATCTTACCTCTGTGGTGGACCAAGAATCTAAACCAGTGGCTACTTGCTCACTTCTTCATCTTTCAATGCAAATGCTCTCTCTGGCAGCTTTGTGTACATCTGAACTTTGGCCACTTGAGCAGGGAAGATTCATGATCTTATGGCAGATTTTCTTGCCTCATGCTTGTTTAAGACAAGCCAATACTCATAGCTTCCTGTCAAATCCTGCCCAAGGCAGTGTCAGTGTTTCATTTGAGTCAGGAATTAATTTTCCTATTTTTCTCTAATGTGGCTTATGCTACATATGCTATTTTCAAATTCCCTTTGCATGCTGCTATCTTTGAACAACTGGCTCTTCAGTCTTTGTACTACTAAGACAGAGATGAATGTCTTTTTGTAACAAGCACTATCTGAAGTCTACAACTGTGTGACTATACAGTCACCTAAAGAGACAGAAACTATTCATTTTTTGGACATATGTACTCAAACCCACAATTTGTTCCTCTTCCTTGGAGTTCCTGAAGGCTTTCTCATCTATCAAGGAATTGAGTACAGGAGGAACATGTCTTATGCTTGTTAGGGCCATCTAGCATGCAGAGAAGGTAAGGTTTTATTTATTTCATCCATAAAGGTCCTGGTGAAGTAAAAATTATTTGGCTTTTTCTGCTTGTGTATGTGAATCTTACGTGAGAATGTACATGCAGGAAAAAAAAAAATGAGGTAAGAGTCAAATAACCTGTATAGCCTTTGATGGACTCCTTCAGAAAGGACTCTGGTATGAAATCTGGCACATCAAATCTTTGGGAAACTTTTCCTGTTTAACCCTAAAATTATGAAGCTGACAACTTCCAAAGTGGAGGCAAATAAAGTACTTCAAGTAGGAAGAACATTCTGGACATAATCCTATAACCTTTCTTTCCATCTCAAAGATGGTAACTTCCTCCTCATTTGCACCAGGGACAGAGTTTAGAACTTCTTCACAGAAGCTGCAACAGTTGTGGAAAAAAAATGGATAAGTACTACTGAAGATTGTTCCTGGTTTGTTTACAGATTTCAGGAGGCCCTGATATATCCATTAGTCATTTTCCAGGAATTCCTGGAAAGCCTGTGGCTGCTGAGGTGCCAGGATCTGTGGAAGCTAGTTTGCTGTGGGACCCATAATATACTTATATCTCACTGTGTGTTTCAGATGTGCATCCCACAGCGAGGCTTGATCTTGTAAAGCTTCCTTATATTCTACTCATACAGCAGGATAAGCTGGTATTTTGCACAATCGTCACTCTATACATATGCACAGCTCTGGTAGCAAAACTGATTTTCTTTTTTTCAGTTCCATTTTGCTGTCTTCTTTGGACAATTGTTCAAAAAAAGATACAAACAGCAACAAAAAACAACTGGACTACTAATTTGTATTGACATAATGTCATATCAGCCAGAAGATAAGACCGACAGCGTTGCAGTAGTTCTTTTATCTTACGTATATATCTGATGTTGGAAAATAAATGTTATGAAAATGTAAACATGAAAAAATTGTGTATATATATATATGAAATACTACTTTCTTCTAGAGGAGACATGATTTCCCACAATGATTTTTTTTTTTTTCCCTGGATGAATATCAACTGAGATGTGAAACAGTCTAGAGCCCATTTGTCTTTGTAGGTGTCAGGTGTTGCTTCTCACTTGCATTTATTGCTATTCCACCTACCTGAAGCTATAGGAAGGTGAACAAGCAGACTCAGCTTGGGCTTTTGCAGCTTACTCATCGGAGTCAGCCTGACCAACAACATCCCAGCCTTGAGGAAATGCATAGGTAATTTTAATAAACAAACAAACAACTCTGCAAACATCTTTTTCCAATTTATTGGCATTATATTCTGTATCAAGGAATAACAGAAAATAGGCCCAAAAGAACAACCTTTTAAATAAAAAATACATCCAGAATCACATACATTTGACCTAGATTTGAAGAACAAGAAAAAATAAGAGCTGTAGTTGCCAGCATTCTTTTAACCCACTACAGACTCTTTTCAACAAGATGAGATTGACAATTTTTTTTGCTAAAGTTTTAACTTGTTAAGAAATGCTAATTGATCACTTTTCTGCATTCAGTTCACTTTTCAATTGGTTCTTACTTTTTTCTGTCCATTTGCTGTAACTTTTGTGCATAGGTGTTGTGTGTGTATGTACAGGTCCTACCTTGGATATATATTATGTAAGCTAATGTCCTGGTTATCGTGATATACCTCAGCTATTCCCAAAGCAAATACCAAAAAAGTAAATGGAAAAAACACTGATAAAGCAATTGCCTCCAATTGTATGTTTCAAAGAAATTAAAGACCTCTTCCTAAGGTGGAATTTACAGTCAGCCGAGCATCTGACCAGCATGTAAAAATGCCAGGTTACATTATAAACATGACTGATAGGGCAAAGACTCAACACTGGTGGGGGAAAAAAAAAATCAAAAATCAAACAAAAACAAAATGCAAGCAGAAAACAAGTTCTAAAATTTTTAATTTTCTTTTCTTCTTTTCTTAAAAAACCTTCCAGGGGGACTGGATAGCTCAAGGGGTTGGTAATAGGATACAGAGCGTTTCATCTCTAGGTCACCAGTTCGCATCCAGGCCAGGTCAGTAGTGACCAAAAATTGTTACCATTTGATGGGGTTTCAGTGACCTATATGAAATAAGTTGTTGGAACCGTTGTTGGAACAGTTGCTGGAAGCTGTTCGCTTCTTATTCAAGAAGATGTGGCTGATCTTTTGGCAGTCTCAGTAGCAAGACTGCATTACCTGTTCGTCTAAAGATGCGAGACATACTGATGGCATTTTGTAGAAATCTTTCTTTCTACAACTATTATCAATTCATAATTGTTGTAACAGTTACTGTAGCTGTTAGTATTCTACTGCCTGTTCTGGATCTGTGCTGTAGTCCAATGGATCTCAGAGTTGTTAAAAAGGTACCTGCTACAGACACACAATTCATACAAAACCATTCTTCATGCGAGCACAGGTAACCTTAATTTATTTAAGTTGCGGGACTAAATCCCCATCTTTCTTTCTTGACATCTTTATTCTCAGATTAAACAGAGGAATTCAGTCAGTATAACACATCTAGAACATTTTTATGGGTGAAGAAGAAAAAAAAAATAAGGCAAAAGATAAGACAACCACCAGCTGGCCTAGAATTTCCAAGCAAAAACAGCGTAATACAGTGTCATAGATCAGGTCAGACTTAGAATAAATTCCAGAATTTTTATGTTGTTCTCAGTTCCATCAAGCTAAGTAGCAACAGATTTCTTCTCCCCACAGGATAGTAAAAAACCATTTCCCTCACGCCTTTGAAAATGGTTTCTTATGTTCAGAATATTACTGGGACCTTGTTAGCCTTTTTAAACATTTTTTTAAATGGCTAGCTTATGCATATATCACCTAGATATTTCACATTTTCTATAATAGAAATCTCAAGAAGCAAGCATGCTTCCTTTAAACTTATCACCAAAAATAGCAGCTGCCAAGAAAAGCTAAATTCTAAACAATTCATGGTTTTATAAAAGATAAGGATAATTCTCAGTTACAGAAAGGTCCCATTTCTACTGTCTGGCAATGGAGGAGGCCCTTAAAATGAGAAGAAAATATGCCCTGAAAATAACATTTCTACCTAAGATCTCTAAACAGGTCCTCATTCCTGGCCATAACATTTGGGAGGAGGAGGGTGCTGAGTGATGAGTAACACAACCACAATACTCCGCTTCCAAAGGCCTTCAAGAGGCTGTGAAATACAGGTAGTAAGACCGAGCAGCTCTGAGCTTGCTCAGAATTATGCTGGTAGTGGGGAAGATCCATCTGTGTTGCAGAAAGCGGGGAACAAGGATGGACCAAGATGCCTTAATACACCCCAAGAATCCATGCCAATACTTTCTTTCCTGTCTTACTGCAGGAACTGGATTACTGAGAATCAGAGCCCTGCTATGTATTTCATTTTACCTTCCCACAAAAAGTTTTACAGAGAAAATAGTAAAATTTAAAATAAAATATAACATGTAAATGAGATCAGATATCAGACGCTTCAGGAGAAATGATTGCTCAGTTATAAGCCAAACAAGTTTCGATAGCTCTGACAGACACATGTGATTAATTACTGTATGTATCAGAAAAATACACCTTTTATCTACAGAATTAAATATTGACATCTTGCCTGCAGGGGCCTGAGAAGGCAACTGACCAAAAGTAATTTAAAATGCAAAACCAAAACCCCTAAATATGTCCTTGATATATGTCCTTCTTTAGATAAATGAAGGGTATTACTGACTTAAACTCAATACATGAAACAATAAGACTGGAGCTTGAAATAAATTATGTTGATTCAAGTAGACACATATTGCAAAACTGTCTTGCTTTTCTATACAAAGAAATTAATCTTTGTTATAATCTTGCATGGAACAATAAGGCAATAAAGATATGTATTTAATTCCTGCATAATCCTTTTAATGTAGAGCTTAGTTTCTAGATTCATGGCATTTGTGTTTTCAGCTTAAATTTCAAAGCTATGTTGTTCAAATCTACAGGTTGCCATTTTTCTTTAAACATTTTTAAGCTATAATTTGATGCATTTTTAGAATTTTATTATGTCTGTATTTATATTTAACACGTTTGTCTTTTTTCATATAGAACACATCAGTGTCAGGCTTCATCTTACTACCACCAAGCCTTCTCTTTTGTTTTTTTTTCAATTATTTTAATTTTCTCACTTATTTTCCCTTCATTACATGTACTAATGTTAAGTATTTAAAAGAACAGTGCAATGCTACAGTTGTTAATGTACTGCTTTAACATATATGGTATTAGTTTCTGACCAAGCATTTATTAAGCATTGGTAAAACAGTATACAAAACTTCATTGCTGTAAATATTCTTACACTCTTTTCTTTTCCCCCCTGTATTTGTGTACTAGGTGGTTGTGAATGCCCTTTTAGGAGCAATTCCATCCATCATGAACGTGCTTCTCGTTTGTCTTATATTCTGGCTAATTTTCAGCATCATGGGAGTAAATCTGTTTGCTGGGAAGTTCTACTACTGTGTTAACACCACAACTGATGAAAGGTTTGAAGTCGACCAAATCAACAATTTTAGTCAGTGCGAGGAACTCATAAAAAACAATCAAAGTGCCCGATGGAAAAACGTGAAAGTAAACTTTGATAATGTAGGATTTGGGTATCTTTCTTTACTTCAAGTAGTAAGTGATCACTCTTTATATACCTCTTACTGTTTATATGTAATAGTGAAAAGCAATTCTAGCAACAAAGACAGAAAACATACTTACCTGATGATTTTTATCTGTGACTTAGTAATACTGCTGCACTGGTAACTGATTACTCTTTTCATAGTAAGCAGCAAGTAGAGCCTACTCAGATAAATAAAGAATTCTTAGGACATCTGACAGAACAAGTGCTATTCTTAGTATTTAGAGATTCCTTAGTACTCCAACCCCTTCTAACTTTAAAAGTTTCTCAAAGTACCTAGGAATGGTATTCAGCTATCTGAATACTTTAAGTTTTACTGTCGCTGAAAAACAAAAATCTGCATTGGTGTGATTAAGTCATAGAGAAGAATTCCATGTAGGAAATCCCATCTTAGTGATGTGGCTGCCACCAGTGCAGACTTATGTGATCTAAGAAGGAATTTCTCATTCAGAAGAGAAATACGAAAGAAATATGTAATTCAATTCTATAATCTATGAAAATTTCCCCTGCTATTTCTGTGTATAAACACCCAGTGGGGTTTATTTTGCACAAACTGAGGGAGGAAAAGAAGGAAGAAAATAGATGCAGAAAGATACTTTAAGGTTATGCCTTCACTGTCAAAAATTGTGTCCTCACAACACTAACTATTTGGAGTAGCTAACAATCTGACCCAGTTTTAATCAAAAAACTAACCTATGTTGTATGCATTCAGCAACTTCCGTGCATTTTTGAGGTTACTGTCTAATTCTGCAGAATCTTAGTTTTAATTTTTATAGTTTTTAAGTAAGTTTCTAGCTTTTATTTTGGCATAAGAAATCTCAATAATACAAATCATTAACATGATGCAGTGGCATTGACATGGTCCTTCCATAGGGTCTAAAACAATAGTTCTGAGCATTGTGAACTGCCTCTCCCAGCTAATATCGCATCTCACCCATGTGACTGATAACTCTGACAATTTAAAGTTCACTATGATTTATTATTTACTGTCACATCAGGAAAGAGCAGAGAGGGACCAACAGTATTAAAGAAATAAACTACGGAATGCAATTTGATTTTGATAAAAAAATAGGATTATAATAGAGAGACTTTAAATATTTCTTTTCTCTGTCTTATTTTTTAAATCCACTGGCCTAGAGTCTCCCTTAGGGTCGGGGGGCAGAATGCTTTATTACACATGTTCAGGAGAAAGAAGACATCAAAAAACTCGTTCCAAGTGTTTTGCAACTCTTGTTCCAGTAGTAACCTAGTCTATTCTAGGACAGGGATAACACCAGGTACATTTTTTCCTAGCTTTGTGGCCACAACCACCACCCCTTGGCTACTTGCAGTCAGACATATTTCAGTGTCCTGGCTGTGCATAGTTTATTCCATCTTCTCTTCATTAAAAAGCAATACATATTTCTTACATGAAGTCTTGGAGTCTTAAATTATTGGATTGTTCTGGGAGGCAAATTGGGAGAAATTTGCTAATTTTTCCCACACTTCTAAAGGAAAATATAATCTAGACCTACTGTGGAGGGACGTAGCTCTCATGGGAGGACAAGCCAGTTGTTTTTGCAGTACCTACAATATAGAGATTTTGCACTGATATAAAAGGCTTGCCTAATGGATGGATTTATTTTTTTTTGGTGTGTGTAGAACACCACTCGTTTTTTCTGTGTTACTAAAATGCTTGTAAAAGCATGAAGAGGGTTTTTTTGTTTGACACACCAGAAAAAAAATGGGGCACTGCTGTCACTACACAAAACAGACACTTGGCCCTGCACCTTTTAGGGTTTGGTAGGTGAGCTGCTAGTAGTGATTTTGCAGTTATGAAATGATAAAAGCCATAGGGCAGAGAAAGCAAAATATCAGGTAATGCTTTAAATTATGCAGAATCTGTGTTCTTTTTCACCTTCAAGAACACAAGAAAGGCCACAATTCATAAATGTTTGAGATTTTTACATCATTTTCGCAATCAAAGAAGATATTTAAAAGATTATTTTCTATTTGATATATAAAGTATTTTTTATGAGAATCTAGAACAGGATGCTAAAGCCATCACATTCAGAAGAAACCTGAGAAGTGAATAGGTATGTCATTACCCTAGATTTCCCTACCCTTCCTAATGACTAACAGTAACAATGAGTAAATACTAAGAATCAATTAGAGGTATCCATTACTACGTCAGAAACAAAGATAAAGCTATTGAAACTTTAACATTTGGCCCAAAATAAGGTATTAAGCCTGAAAAATTGTAATAAAAATCACGGTTGCAAGTGGATGTGCTTTCTGTATACCCCATGTGAACATTAACGGCCTTTTTAAAAATCTTAATGATTAGTTGAAAAGTCTACTGAAGTCATTTTGTTCTCCACCTTAACAACCCCAGGCACAGACTTTTGTTTAGGTTGTGATGGATCTGAGAAATAACCCCACAGAGGTCAATGTCATTTCACTAACGTCAAACTCAGTGATAAGTACCAATGCATGAATTACAGATACAAGGTCCCTTTTCAGGAAGTTAGAAATGCACCACAGAAAGCTGCCTCTTACAATCCGGTATTATTTCCATTCTCCATTCTCTCCTCTGACTCCCCTTTAAGCCAGTCAAAGAAGGATATTTTAAATCCCTTGAGATTTTCTGGGTTATAGGTAATACAACATAAATCTTTATTTTCTGCATTACGGAGGTTTTCTATCTAGAGTGAATACTACTGGAAGTAGTACCATTCTCCTACCCCCAAAAAATCCAAATGAAAACAAGCCAAAAGAACTCCAAACCCTTGGCACTGAGGACTTTTTTATTTTGGGAAAGATATGAATGAGTCCCATGAACAATTTTTGTTTTGAATCATGGAAAGCCTTTTCTGGTAGTATATGAGTCTGCTCATTGCAGGA